ACCAGATGTCTGTAGGGACCCCAGGAAAACCAGATGTCTGTAGGAACCCCAGGAAAACCAGATGTCTGTAGGGACCCCAGGAAAACCAGATGTCTGTAGGGACCCCAGGAAAACCAGATGTCTGTAGGAACCCCAGGAAAACCAGATGTCTGTAGGGACCCCAGGAAAACCAGATGTCTGTAGAGACCCCAGGAAAACCAGATGTCTATAGAGACCCCAGGAAAACCAGATGTCTGTAGGAACACCTGGAAAACCAGTCTGGGTTCTGTTTCCAGCTCCAGCTGATGGTTTGTGTTTAATGAATAGAATTGTGAATGTCTGAACTGTTGTCAGTAACTGAACCTTCTGTCTTCAGAGGACARCGAGCTTGTCAACGAGGTGTTGGGGGACATCTCCCGCCATGAGGAGGACTATCTGGACCTGACGTTGGAGGAGGAGATGCAGCTCATCGCTGACATCAAGATCTACCTGAACCGGGAGCCAGAGCACATTGTGTGACGTCCTGGTCTGAAAGAAAACTGAATCTGGACCAGCACATGGACCATCACAGGTCCTCTCAGACTCACTGTGTCCTCCAGGTGGTCCCTGTGGTCCGTCTTCACTGTAAGATCTAAAGTTCACAGCAAAGCACAGAAGCAGATGGAGCTCTGCTGGAAACTCTTTCAGTTTGTATCTTTATTTCATCAGTTCAGTTCGATTCAAACAGGTTTGATGAAGTTTTTGTTGAACGAATCATGTTTTAGTTTTGTGAAGTTTTTGGTTCTAAACTTCAGTGAAGAGTGACTCTGGAGAACCCAAGCCTGTGTTTTCACTGACACAGATTCAGGTTTTTATTTAATTTCCTGATTTAATCAATGTTTCCTGAAGAGTTGAATGTTTTCTGTCTGAATGAGTGATGAAAGAAAAGATTCATAAAGTTTGTTTTTGTTTATTGTCCTGAAATACAGGTTTTATTTGTCTACATTTAACCCTTCTGTGTGGGTCTGAGACGGTGGGTCTGAGGTGGTCTGGTCACCAGACTCTTCTTCAGTTTTTAAGGTTTTGGACCAGGACCAGTTCTTGTTTAAAAAAACCAAATGTTGATGGTGAGTGGTTGAAACCAGTTTTAAGTTTCTCTGAGGACCAGATGAACATGTTGAACCTTCAGAGGTGTTTGTGTTTGGGCCACTGATGGGATGATGGGTTGAGTCAGCTGGTAAATGATAAAACCCAGCTGCTCCTTCCTCATGAGTTTAAGTTCACATGTTAAGATATTTCTTACCAACTTACAGTTTAAGATTCGATGTTTTATTTCATGAGTTCCTGTAAGTTAATGTAGTCTGAACCAGAAATGTTCCCGTTGTGTTGGCATGCTTTTATTTTGAAGGAGCTCTGTCATTATCCACTCCCTTCTTCAGAAGAACCTGTTAGAACAGTCAGAGGTTCTGTCTGCAGTTTTACCTGAGGTGGACTGAAAGCCCTGAAGGTTCTGGTCTCATCTGAAGTACCAGGTCCATATCAGCTGTTTGAGGGTAAAACTGTTGGTTTTGGTTCCTGCTGTTGTGGATWCAAATATTTTCTCCATTTATAAGAACTAATAAAGGTTTGTGAAAACTGAGTGAAGTTGATGTAATTTGATTGATCAGCTGCTCTCTGACATCACTTCCTGTGCTGTGGGAACCAATCAGAGAACTGAGGTGTGGACTCTGGTCCAAACTCATCACCCTGCTGCTGTTCCAGCTGGACTAATGTGTGATGTTACCTGGGTCAGAACAAAAGCTCTCATGTTTTATTAAACCAAACCAATAAACTGAACTCTGCRTCATGTGAAGTCTTTCCTTTCTTTAATCAGAAAAGTTGATAAAAACACGTCTGTTTGTGTAAAAACAACCCACACACACCGAGTGTTTGATAAAAAACCTCTCCTCTTCTCTTGGTTTGGTTTTTTTATTGGACATGATCCCAGCGCAGGTGAGGGGCACGCTGCCGGACTCAGAAGTAGTTGACGACTCTGCGGATGGACTGGATGTTGGGGTTCTGGGCCTGCCACTCGTTGGGGCTGCAGTAGTTTCCTCGCTCCACGATGTACATCCGACCACGGAAGTTTGGCTCCTCGTACATCACCCAGCTGCAGGAGGGGGAGGAGTTAGTCACAGGTAAAACTGTCCTTTAAACTTTAGGTWCTGCTTCCCTGAACCGTTTCACCAGAACCCAATGACCTTTGACCTGCARTTATTATTGGTCCAGTATTCTCTGGTTTTAGACCTCAGATCGGTGGAGGTACAGAAATATTCTCACTTCTTTAAGTCACCTTAAAGGTCCAAACATGAGCCGGTCCCTGCTGGTGTTAAACTTACATCTTYAAACCTTTTACTGACGCTGGTAAAACCAAAGAAAACCTTTTGAAATTCCTTAAAAACCTTTTGAATTTTTTTTTTTTTTTTGTRAGGTTAAAGGTACGAACYGGAGGAAGTTGTATGAAACCCTGGTTTAACTTAGTAAAAAGTACTATATGCAAGTATCCTTTAAGTATACTAACTTTAAACTAAAATAAATGAAAGTGTTTACTTCCAGTTTACTTTTTTATGTACTTATCTGAGATATACTTAGCTAAGTTTATCTTATACTATACTTGGTTTGTACCTCTTTCTGTACACTAAAAGTTTAAGTRTACTTTTTCTGTACTAATGTTTAAACTTTTGGCCAAGATAAACTTTAGTAGTACACTTTTCACAGACTGGTTTATTTTTGTATATTTCAAGATTAAACTGAAAGTATACTTAGAAGATTACTTTCAGTATACTTCTGAGTATACTTTCATAAACTTATTGTGGGACAATTTAGTCCTAGAAGTATACTTGTTAGTAAACTGCCAGTATACTTATATCAGTGTACATGGTAAATAAAAGTACACTTAGGGAAATACACTTTTATATACTTTAGTATATTTAATGACATGTATTTAAAGTATACATTTTTTTGTTAATTTAGAAACAGTAAACAAAGTGTACTTTTATAAACTAAATAGTCCCAATTTTGTACGAACAAGTATTAAATCAGTATACTTTCTAGTACACTACAAGTACATGGTGCCTAGTATACTTGATAAATTAAACTTATACTCAGGTATTCCTAATAAGATGAACTTTAAGTACACTACATTTTGCTAAGCGTTTCCACAAACCATTTGCAGCAGAACCAGTACCTACTGGAACCCACTGGAACAAAGACTTCAGGGTTTCAAACATTTCTGTCAGATTCACCTGTTTTCTCTTCACTCACTGATAAAAACTCTGTTGTTTAGTTTGATCTCTTACTAACTGATGTTTAAAAGTTAATGAGCAACACAAACTGAAACATGTTGTTGAAGGTAGTGAAACATTAACCTGGACCAAGTGTGGTTTCTGCAGATAATCTGTACTAAAATATAAAAGTATCAGAATCCTGTAAAGTCTAGTTTAGGTTGGATAATTGTCACGAGGTTTCTGCTCTGGATCAGATGAATGTTCTCAGCAGAACTCCAGCTGACTGACTGCTTCAGGCTGTTTGGTAAAACTGATCTGGTTTGTGGTAAATGTTTGGTATGAACAGAGTTTTGTCCTGAAGGACATGTACTGGTCTGAGGAGAAGGACTCACGCTCCGTCTCCGTAGACCCTGACGGAGTTGATGCAGTTCTTGGTGAAGCCCCGGCTCTGCAGGAAGGGACAGTCGTCGCAGATCTCCACGCACTGACCTGAGAAGTTGCAGGTGTCGAACAGCTCGATGCGGTAGTGCTCTCCGTGCTGCAGGACAGGTAGAGACCAGGTGAAGGTTTGAACACACAGTCAGGCTGGAGGACTTCCTCAGACCTGAACCAACTAATCCTGGCTTCACTCACACTGATCTACTGATTTYAGCTCATGTTGGTGTCAAACTAAATGATTTATGGTTTGTTGTAGAAATACTTCATGAGTTGTGATTAAAATAAGACTAAAGGTGAGCTCATATACTGGGGTTTAACCCCGCCCACCTTTAAGGTGAAGCAGCTGCTTCACTCAGTGTTTACCATGCGGATGGGCTTGCAGGATCCCATGTGGTCGTTGTGGGAGTTCCACCTCTGGAATTCTGGGTACTCTCCGTGCTCCAGGATGTACTGCTGGCCCTTAAAGTCTGGGTGGTCGTAGCAGATCCAGGCTCCGCTCTCCACCCGGATGGAGTTCACCCTGAAAACACCAAACCACAGTCAGAGAGGACACAAGCTCACGCTGCGCTTTTAATGTGAAAAACACCAGGAAGTGGAGAGAAACCCCGCCTCCRGATGGAGTTAATGAACCAACGCTGAAGGATGAGTTCTCCTCAGAGTCCAGAGGAGGTTTACCTGTTCATGAAGCCGCGGTCCTGGAAGTTATCACAGTCACCTCTGACCTCCAGCTTCCTGCCGGTGAAACATTTCCCCTCGTAGAAGGTGATCTGCAGGAACAACATCAGCTTCAGCTTCAACAAATTATCACTGCACGTCTGCTGCAAACGTAAACATCTTTCTGTAAAAACATTAAGAAAGCTACAACCTGCAGGTGATAAAACCAACACATTTAAAGGTTTAAAGGAATATTCTTAGTTTTTTGAGATTTTAAACTTTTTAAAAATACTCAAAATGATAAATTTTGGTTGTAATTGAAACAGTTCCAACCAAAACCAGATCCTTTAACTTTATTAGAAACTTCCTCCTCTCACTCTTAAAACTTGTTTATTTTTAAGTTTTGTTTGTTGGCGTCCTGTCCCCCCCACCCCACCCCCCACTGATCCACCTGCTGCAGGGAGTCCCTCCGGCCCGGCCCGGCCCGGCCCGGCCCGGCCCGGCCCGGCCCGGCTGGCACTCACCTTTCCAGAGTACTGCGACATTTTGCTCCCACTGGATGTCGTCCAACCTGATCCACAACCACACACACAGTGTAACAGAGAAAAAGTTGGACACCCCAATTTATACGGCAGGGGGACGGGGTGGGGTCCAGGAAGGGACTAGGGTCCCACTGGAGGAACAAAGGAGGGGGGCCGGGGCCCCTCCGGGGGGACAAAGGAGGAGGCTTTAAAGGTTTCTGCTGCCTCGACGGTTTCCCTTCATCCTGATGTGTCTGTGGATTCTGATGTGTGTGTGTGTGTGTGTGCACGTGCACGTGTGTGTGTGTGTGTGTGTGTGTGTGTGTGAATAGAAAGTGCTTGGACACAGCTTTGCAGCTCAAAGATAATGCACGGGTCACGTTTCTGCAGAGACAAATGGATAAAAGCTGCAGCTGAAACTGGGAGGAACTTTTAACTACAGTAAAAAGTACTACACTGTACAAATACTACAGTAAAAGTACTACACTGTACAAATACTACAGTAGAAGTACTACACTGTACAAATACTACAGTAGAAGTACTACAGTAAGACAAACTGAACTCGTAATAAAACAGACATAATTCTGACTAAAATCTTCAGTAAATGAAACAGAAGTGAAGATAATAGTTTTCAGCTCATCTGGATGTTTTTTAATGTTTCTAAGTGTAACTGTTAAATTTATGAGTTATTCTGACTTAAAGACTTAGTTGTAGTTTTAGTCTGAAGACACAGCAGTTAGTCAAAATGACTTCATTCAGATTCAGAGAATTTTAAACAACTTGTTCAAAGAGCCTTTTAGCTGTAACGTCTGGGATTGTTGGAGTAAAAACAACAGATTTGTAGACAAACAACAGAAAAGAACTTTAATGAGAAAATTCATAGAAACAAAACATCAGTCATAAAAAGTTTTCATCATTATTACAGGTCGGGGTTCAGGTTGCAGCTTTAATGGATAAAACTCCTCCAGTTTAACAAATAAATGAAAACTAAAGGTTTGTTCTTCATGCATCATTTCAGTAAAATACAAAGTAGCAGATCAGAGACAGAAATATTTCCTGMCCATCTTTCAGTGCGCTGAGTGAAGCATTCAGGAAAAAAATGTAAAGAAAAACCAAAACCCTGAAGGTCCTGTCTTTAGTTCTTGTCTTGTTGGGAGGTAAAGGTCTGCTGTGCTGGGGTGATTCTGTTTRCTCTTATGATTTACTCAGATTATTACAACGAGCTAACTTGATAAAAAAATTTAAAAAAGAGCAAAACAAAAACTACTCTTAACAAAGTAACAAGAATTGGTTATTAATTATAAATAYATAAAAATGACTTTTCTGTTTCTCATCTCTTCTGAGGTGCCACAAGGCTCAGTACTGGGACTCCTTTTGTTACGTAAACACATTTGTGGGCTCAATAATCCTATCTGACGGTTTCTTGTATCACCGTATGCAGACGATACCCAACTGTATGTTTGCTATCGTTGCAATAAGGCAGTCTCATCTAATATCAAATATTTATCTTTTCATATACAGTATTTTTGTATACAGTATTTTACTATGATTTTCTGATAGCATCTCATCACTACAGAGACAGACACATTTGTATTATATTTGCCATTCTTCATTTAAAAGTAGACTTCATACCAAACTCCATTTGAAAATCTAATATTTGTTTTTAATTCAATGTTTAGCAGCGCTGAAAAGCAGACTTTATTCCTCCAACCAATCTTTCAGTCTGAAAATGTGGCTTTAAAAGCTGCTCAGTAAATGTATCTGATGCACTAACTAAACTAAAATCTTTGGAACATGTTAAGAGTATTTACATGGATCAAGGTGTTTCAGCTGAGACTGTAAACCTCACAGATATGTTTGGAAGCAGCGGCTCTGAATTAGCAGCAGATTGTTTCTGACATCCTGAGCTTTAGTTTTTGTGCAGTTTGTTTTTTAATAAAACAGTTTGTATGTAGCTAAAGACAGAAACTCTGTGTTTGGACAGGCGGGAGTTAAACGGACGGTCTGGTGTGACCTGAGAAGGAAACATAAGATGAAGACTCTCCTCCTCRGTGTCAGGTGGTGCTGATGGCTGGAGCTACATCACAGAGCAGGGAGTCCAGTCCTGAGGCTGACCTCCCTCCATCTTCTCCACCTCCAGGATCATCCTCCTGAACACCTCCACAGCTGTCTGAGGAAGAGGAGGACACAGTCTGACAGCTGCACCCATCATCTTCATCACTTTGGGTCCTTCTTCTCACCTGGTTTTCTTTGGCTGAAGACTCCAGGAAGGCAGCGTTCCACGACTCTGCCAGAGCTTTCCCCTCCTGATCACTGATCACTCTAAACAACAACAATCATAGCTGATTATTATGGGATGTTGAGTGTCAGATACTGAGGAAAATAGCTGAAACAGTTGTATCTGAATGAAACATAAAAGTGAAACAGGTAAAGAAAACGTTCAGAACCGTTCCTGTGGGTCACCTCTCCATGTGTAGATCTTTCTTGTTCCCGACTAAAATGATGAGTTTTCTGTAGAAAAAAGGCAGAAAACTTTGTTTATTAATAATTCTGACAGGAAGTGAAAAGAATCTCCTCCTCAGACAGAAACAACAAAACAACCAGACATGTTTCTGAGTCACGTACTGAAYGTTTCCCACCATGTCCAGCAGCTTCTCATGGATCACTCGGACCACCTCAAAACTACACAAAAACACACAAAATCAACCACACAACTCCTTATATGGTCAGAGGGAAAGAGTGCTCCAAACTCTACAAACAGTGAAGGATTGTGGGTATTCAGCTGACATGAAGGTGCAGCTAAATAAAAAGTTAAGAGCTAAAAAACAAAATGAATTTGTTTATAAGACAGAAAACATCTGAGAGCTACTTCCTGTCTGAAAAAACTAACCAAGTAAAAGTTGGACCTTTTGTAGGACGTTACAGAGTAGATGAGGACGTAAGCGTTGACGTTGATGGTGTAGCTCTGAGGGAAAATGGAGTACTCGTCYTACAACAAACACATGGTCCTGTGGTCAAACCTGAGGCTGTGAGAGGACAAGTCACCAGAAGGTGGTCTCACCTGGCCCGCCGTGCCCACCAGCTGCAGGTTGTACTCCTGACCGTTCACCGTCATCGTCTTGCTGAAAGCTGACACAAACACAGCAGGGCTGAGAGGTTTTGGGTTCAGATCTGGGTCTGAGGACACGACGAGGACAGACTTACTGTTCTCGATGGTCGGATCGTAGGAGTCCACAAACTGACCCTCCACAACCTGGATGGTGAGGGAGGACTTCCCTAAACAACACAAACACACACTGAGAGGACCAGGGGACAGGAAGCTGTTTGTCAACAGGTAGGACAGAAACAGGTGAGTCTGACCCACAAAGACCAGTCAGTCTGCTGGAGAACCTGTGGATCCTGGTTCCACAGAACACATCCCATCAGTTGTCTTTATGATTGTTTCAGAACCAAGAGCTGGGTCCAATAAATAACATCAACATGAGAGAAAAAAGATTCAACTTCTCTGGAATGAAGAGCCTCTGGTGTTTAGTGGACCTGTGGATTTAAAAGAACCAGTTGGACCTGGTCTCACTGAACCAGTTGGACACTGAGACGTCTGGATGGGACCGAGATGAGACGCTGCCTGGACCAACCAATAAAAACCGTTTGGTCTCTGAAGAACCAGAGGAGGCTTTCAGACCTCATGATCCTCTTTCTTCTTTGTAACCATCAGAGTCCATCTGCAGCCAAAATCCTGTGATCAGGTCTGAAACTCCTGCTGCAACACCACCAACAGCACCAACAGCACCAACACCACCAACAGCACCAACAACACCAACAGCACCAACACCACCAACACCACCAACAACACCAACAACACCACCAACACCAACAACACCACCAACACCAACACCACCAACAACACCAACAGCACCAACAGCACCAACACCACCAACAGCACCAACACCACCAACAGCACCAACACCACCAACAGCACCAACAACACCAACACCACCACCAACACAAACACCACCAACAACACCAACACCACCAACAACAACACCACCAACACCAACACCACCAACACCAACAACACCAACACAAACACCACCAACAACACCAACACCACCAACACCAACAACAACACCACCAACACCAACACCACCAACACCAACAACACCAACACAAACACCACCAACAACACCAACACCAACAACACCACCAACAACACCACCAACACCAACACCACCAACACCAACAACACCAACACAAACACCACCAACAACACCAACACCAACAACACCACCAACACCAACACCACCAACAACACCAACACCACCAACACCAC